AGTGCGCAAGATGTGGCACTTTCAATAGCAGCCCATATTGCTCTCGGTCGCCGAGTGTGCAACTCATGGCGCAGCAAACAGCAGGCTTTCTTATGTTCGGCCGCAGGGCGTGCAACCGAAGGCGCAGCCTATGGCGCACCCCGCGGATGGCGCTACCACTTGCCCAACCATTGGTGCAGCTCATGGCGCAGCCCATGGACGACACCATCGCAAGCGCACCGGCGCAAGTCAATCTGCGCAATCCGTAGACGGTGCAGCCCATGTACCGCGCAACCAATGGCGTAACTGGTGGATGGCGCAACCGATGACGCGCCACATGGGTGCCACACAGCCCTGGCAGTTAATAGGGGGACACGCCCGATGTATGCTCGCCGTTTGGGCTGGCGGTGGGGCCCAAGCCGCGAGCGCCATTGTGGTCAGGAATGTCGTATTGTGTGCAATGGTCCAGCCTAGCGTACGAACTTCCAGTCCAGTCGGCACAATGTATATTAAACTGAACCCCGAAAGTCTCAACATGTGGCGCGTCGCGTTCCCAGGTCCCAGAGGGCCGTACACAGTAGCATGTGACAGCTCGCTCCATTTGTAGGAAGGAGGCCTTGCCATGTGACAGTTGATCCCCGTGGTCAGGAGGCCGTAGCATGTGCTGGAGTCTGTTAGGGGGCTCTGTGTTTTGCCCGGGAGTTCCTGAGGGACTTATTAGGGGCATTCGGGCAATATCCGTGGGGGCGTTAGGCAGTTTTGGGAGGCCTTGGAGACGTCTGGCGGGCGTCTGGTGGGCATGGGGCGAGACAGGGCGACAGTCAGACAGCACTGAAACAGCTTATGATGGTTTGACCATGTATCCAGGGTGCCTAATGGAGGGTCTCGTTGGTTAGTTGACCATCTTTTGGGACTTGCGGGACCGCTATTGGGATCTTCTTGGAAGTTGTTGGGCTCATCGTGCGACAATATTGGGCGGTCGTGGCCGCGTTGGAGGTCTTGCCGTCTTGGAAGCCATGCTTCCCATCTGGAGGCCTTGGAGACAGCTAGGGAGGCGTCGGGACCCCAGGGGGGCATGCTTGCGCCTGGGCGCCACAAGGACGGAGGTAGGCCCAGAGAAGCTACAGCTGCCCAGGCAAAATAGCACGCCCCAACATTCCAGGAGGCATGGTTCCGAATAATCGCTCGTCGCCCCTCCGCCAGGCCCCCCTGCCCCTGCCTCCTTCGGGAGCCTCGCGACGGGGGTCAGTGCAAACGGGGGTCAGCCAGAGCGCCAGATCTTGCAGGATCCTGCAAGGCCAGGGTCGCACTGACCCGGATTTGGGTGCAGCATCTTGCAGGGTCATTCGCATTGACCCGGGTTTGGGCGCAGGATCTTGTAGGATCCTGCGAGGCCCGATTGACCCAGGTTTGGATTGGCCGGGTCAGCAGATCCCCGACTCCTCATGATGACCATGATGTTTTTCCCCCTCACCCCGCCTCGCCGGACCCTCGCCCTCCCTCGTCGCCCCCTGTCCTCCATCTTCTGGTCGTCCCGTCTCCCGTGCGTCCATGTTTGTCTCGGTGCGCTCCATCGTTGCCCTCTAGCTGCTTGGATCATCCAAGTGTTGCCGAACAACAAGCCACCCATATGGCGCCATTGGTTACGCGATCCATGGGTTGCGGCAGGGGTTGCGCGATCCATGGGTTGCGAGATCCACGGATTGCGCACTGGGTTACGCCATCAATGGGTTGCGCCATGGGTTCCGCGATCAATGGGATGCGCCGTTGTGCTCTTGGTTGTGCCATCCGTGCGTTGCCACATGGATTGCGGCATCAACGGGTTGCGCCATGGTCTGCGTCATCCGTGGGTTGCGCGATCCGTGGGTTGCGCCATTGGGTTGCACCATGGGTTGTTCCAGTCGTTGCGCCGTAGGCGTAGGTTGCGCTAGCCGTGGGGTGCGCCACGGGCTGCGTGTTAGCCGTGGGGTTGCGCTAGCCGTGGGGTGCGCACTCGGTGGCCGATGCAAAAAGGGCTTGCTAATGCTTACGCCATGGGCTGCGCCATCGGCGGCCGAGAAGAGAGCATTGGTTGCGCCATAGGTTGCGCACTCGGCCGCACAGAAGAAAGCGAGCGTCTCGCTATTGGTTGCGACATAAATTGCGCACTCGGTGGCCGATGATGAATTACCCCAGTGCGACCCTACCTAGAAGTTGGAGCCCCTAGGAAAGCAGCATTAGTTGCTATGCTATGCTATGCCATGATTTGCTGCGCTATGCTATGCTATGCTATGCTGCGCTATGCTATGCTATGTTAAGCTAAGCTATGCTATGTCATGCTGCGCTGTGCTATGCTAAGCTATGCTATGCTATGCTAAGCTGCGCTATGCTATGTTATGCTATGACATACTATGCTATGCTGCGCTATGATATGATATGTTATGTTATGATGGGTTATGGTATGCTATGCTATGATATGCTCATGCAGCGCTGCGCTATGCTAAGCAAAACTGAGTTAGCCCTCTAGGCAGAGCCTAGGTAGGGAATTACACCCATACTATGCTAAAGCTCGGCGAAGCTAAGATGAAGGTAAGCTAAGCTAAGATAAGCCTGAACTAAGATGAAGCTAAGCTAAGCTAAGATGAAATAAGCTAAGCTAAGATGAGATAAGCAACGCTAAGCTAAGGGGACGTAACTGGGGGAACCGCGGGGCGGATACCGGGGGAACCGCCCGGGGCGAGCCCCACTGCCCGGCCCCTTTAAGAGATAGAGAGAGAGAGAGAGAGAGTAAGAACCTTTCTAGGCAGAGCCTAGGTAGGGAAATAGCATGCTATTGGTTGCGCCACCGGTTGCGCATTCGGCGGCCGATGACAAAGCGGCCTGCTGTTGGTTGCGCCGTACGTTGCATACTGGCGACCAAGACTACCGCGACCTTCTCTTGAGTGCGCCAGAGGTTGCTCGTTGCGTACACGGCGGCCTAGAATATGATTCGTATTCACAGTGGTCAAGCAGAAATGCGGTCCCCGCTCTCCCCTCTGCACCTCTTCACCGCGTGCGCGCGCCACTTGTCCGTTGTCGTCCTGGGGTCAAGGGAGGGAGGAGATGTCCCGCCCGCCTATCTTTTGTTCGCGTCGTGTTGTGGCGCAACAGCGCTGCCTGCCTCAATGGTCGCTGTTCCGACCACGCGCTGGGAGCCAGGACGTGTCTCAGAATATTGGTTCTTGGCAAATTAGAGCAAAGAAAGGTGGGAGCGGAAGTTAATACATTGCGATTCGTTGCGCCATTTGCTGCCCATGCGGCGGCTGAGAATCAAGGGGCTTGCTATCGATTGCGCATTTGGTTGCGCATTCGGCGGCCGACCACAAGACGGCCTGATGACGGCCGCGACACGTCCAGCCAGTTCAGTTCCGTTCAGTTCAGATCAGCGCACCTATTGGAACAAAAATCAGGAGGCACGAACTAGCCCTAATACAGCCAAGCACCACGCGTACATTAGTTGATGGTTTAATGGCAGGCTACGTCAACACCCGCATGGAGTGCGGGTGATGTGTTGCACGGTCACGTTGCTTTAAGGATGCTCAGCCGCTGGCAGACCAGCTTGCGCAGAACCTCGGCACAGAACGTTTTGCCCAGATATGCGCACGTTGAGTTTTGAGGCAAGTGCAGTCGTGTCGTGTTGCGCACGAGCGTGGGCCGATCCGAAGCGTTTTCAATCCCGCGCAGTTCAGCCTACGAGCCTGGCGTAGCAGTTGCGAGACTTGCTTGAGATGGGCTTCCGCTGGCCCTTCCAACAAAATAATGTGTTCTCCAACCCCTTGGATAACTACAGCCAGAATCACTTAGACGCGTCTTCCTTGGAGTACGTATCAGAGCTTTCGTCGTTTTCCGGCGAGTGGTTGGCAGAGGCTTTCTTAAAACGCAGGCACTTTGACCCGAATGCACCCAACACGGTTGGACAACAAGCCGTGTTTGCTCGGACGGAGTTGTTATTTCTAATTTGTTCTTGGCGGGTCCAGCAGAAAACCTCGGTAAGGTTCTCGCTCCAAGGCGGTTTCCAAGTAACCGCCCACACGAGAGCGCGACCCTTCGCCAGAGTGACCTTTGGTGCGAGTCCGCGGGGCCCCCCCCGATCGCCGAATACGATGCGATGGCAGCGGCCTGCGCGTTTGGGCGGCGTGCCGTTTCCCCCCCACACTCGGACGTCTCGGCCCCACTCCTGGCACCAGCCGTCCGCCGCGGGCCCCGGATTGCCTAAGAGAGTGAAGCGGTCGAGTTTGGCATAAACATAAGTGCTCGGAGTTCGGCGTAAACATCGGAGATTCGGCATCAGCATGAAGATTGCCAGATGATTTCGGCCTAAGGATTGCCGAAGAGATTCGGCATTAACGTAAACGTTCGGAGTTCCGCGCGGATTTCTTTGATCGGCGTTGGGGCCCCCCTGGCGGCGCCTCCGACGCCACCCCTGGCGCGCTCCGCGCGCCAAAGAGGGGAAGGTTCAGCGCCGATCCCAGAAATCCGCGCGGCGTTCATAAAGGATATCCGTACGTTGTTTTTCTAACGAAACGGGCCTCCAGAGTCCCCAGATTCGGAGACGCCCACTGGCCGTCATCCTCTGTGTTCCGAGCGCCGCAGGGTTGGGAAGATCTCGGCGGCAGTTTTTGGTCAGTGCCTGTCTCCCGCGGCCTCCATTTTTCGCACCTCGCGCGCGGCGGGTGCCGCGGTGCGAGCGGATCCTGGCAAGGAGAAGGAATAGTAGAAGGGAGTGGTTGTATCTTCATCGCCCGCCTCCACGTCATGATCACCATCAGCATCATCATCATGAGCATCATCATCGTGGTCGTCATCGTCATCATCATCATCATCATCATCATCATCATCTTATCATCGTCATCATCAGCATCATCATCATCATCATCGTCATCATCATCGTGGTCGCCATCGCCGTCGCCGTCGTCTTCGGATCATCACCATCAGCATCGTCACCCTTCCTCCTTTCTCCTTCCTCTTCCCTCCTTCCTCCTGCTCCCCCCTCGCGCGCACAGGAAGCTATGGGAGCTGAGACTCTGGGTGGCCTTCTCCCCGCAGGACGAGGAGTGGCGCGGCTTCTGGGGTCGAGAGAAGGACAGCTCGAACCCGCTCCTTCCCCCCCCGTCGTCCCTCTCCTCCTCCCCCTCCTCCTCCTCCTCCTCCTCTTCCTCCTCCTCCTCCTCCTCCTTCTCCTAGTCTCTACCTCCCGGAGGAAGAGCATGGAGGAGGGGGAAGGGATCTTGACGTTGGGAGTCTTGTCGCCTCGGCCGGATGCGCCTCCAGAGCCTGAGCAGAAGACGCTCAAGGAGAGATCGGGGGCTCCTCATCCTCCTAATTCCTGCCGGTCCCCGTGCAGGGTGCAGTCTGTGCCGCGCCGCCAAACGTCGTCCAAGATATGTTGTGCGAACTTTTGCTGTGCAAGCGACATGGTGCGATCTACATCGCGCAAGCAATTTCCGTTCGCAGTGAGTCATGAACTCCACTGCTCGCGCAACCATCCCACCCGCCCGCCCGCAACTTGGCTTGCAAACCCATGCGGCGGCGATTGCGATGAGTGCTTGGCGTTGGCTGGTGCGCCCACGCGGCCCGGCTATCCCGCGCATGCTTGCGCGCGCAGCGGCCAGCCAGTTTGGCGCGACAGACGCCGCCGCGGCGTCGCTGACCGCCAGGCGTTTCCCACCGGGCATTTCTGTGCGAGTCGGCGACATGCGCGGGCGCGGCACCGAGGCAACGTCGACAGTGGTAGACGAAATTGATGATGGTAGTAATGCTCGCGACGATGATGACAACGACGACGAACAGGCCAGTGGCGCCGCCGATGCTGATCACGCCGACGACGACGGCGCCCTCGCGTCGGCGACGAAAGTTTTGGAGGGCGTTCGACACGCTGGCGCGGCCGACGCGCGAGAGCGGCCCGCATGGCAGCATGTCATATGGATCGTGCCCACCCCAAGCGCGCGCAAGGGCGTGCGAATGATTTCGACATGCGGCGCGAGAGGCCCGACTGGCCGAAATTCATGAAACTGGTTTTAATAATTTGCAAGGGCACGAGCGCAGGTTTTTGCCAAGCCATCCTGTGGTGTTGTGTCCTCGCTTTGAAGAGACAGCGCCCCGCGTTCTCCTCCCCCCCTCCTCCTCCCCCCCTTCCTCCCCCCTCCCTCCGCCCATCCCTGCCTCTGCCCTCCGCGCGTCCTCGGCGCCCCCGCATCATCGTCATCGGAACCATCGACGTCATCACCACCATTCTCGCCATCATCATCAGCGTCGCCATCATCGCCACCAGCCTCACCACCGCAACCATCCTCGCCATCGCCATCGGCGACCCTTCAGCACGCCCAGCACAGCGCTTCGCGGCCCCCGGGGGAGCTACACCTCAGGCCCCAGCAGCGGCGCCCACGCGCGTCTCCCCTACCCGGCGCAGCGCTGCGCGGCCCCGTAGGGAGCTCCGCCGAAGGCCCTGCCCAGCGGCGCCCGCGCGCGCGCCCCCCTTGCTCCCCGCCCCACCCCGCCCCCCCACCAACGTCGCCGCCCAGCGCTCCGCTTCGTGGCCCACGGGGCAATCCACTTGAGGTGCCGGTCGCAGTGTCCGCGCGCGCACCGCCCACCCGGCGCTGCGCTGCGCGGCCCCATGGGGGGCTCCACCTCAAGCCCCAGCGGCGGCGCCCGCATGCGTTCCCCTCACCCAGCGCAGCGCTGCGTGGTTTCAGGGGGAGCTCAACCTATGAGCCCAGCGGCGGTGTCCACCCGCGTCTCCCCCACCCATCACAGCGCTGCGCGGCCCCATGGGGAGCTCCACCTATGGCCCCAGCGACGGCGCCCTCGCGCGCCCCGCCGCCCCCCGGCCCGCCCCGCCCCCCCCCCCGCCGCCGCCCGGCGCGGCGTTTCGTGGCCCCGCGGCGAGCTCAACCTTAGGCGCCAGTGGCAGCGTCCACGTGCGCCCCCCCCATCCAGCGTTGCGCTTCGTGGCCCCATGGGTAGCTCCACCTCAGGCCCTAGCGGCTGCGCCCGCGCGCGCACCCCCCACCTGGCGCGGCGCCCCGCGCCCCCGTGGGAAGTTCCAGCCAAAGCGCCAGCGGCGGTGCCCACGCGCATCTCCCCCGCCAAGCACAACGTTTCGCAGCCCCGCGGGAAGCTCCACCTAAGGCCCCAGCAGCTGCGTCCACGCGCGCCCTCCCCACCCAGCAATGGGGAACTCCACTTGAGGCCCCAGCGGCGGCGCCCACAGGCGCCCCCCTTTTCCCCCACCCAGCGCGGCGCTTCGCGGCCCCATGGGCAGCTCCACCTCGGGCCCCTGCGGCGGCGCCCACATGCGTTTCCCCGCCCGGCGCGGCGATTCGCGGCCTCGTGGGGGGCCCCACCTGAGGCCCCAGCGGCGGTGCCCACGGGCGCCCCCCTCCCCCCCGCGCGCGCGCGTGCCCGCCCGGCGCAGCGCTGCGCGGCCGGGCGGAGAGCTCCTCCAGGAGCACCAGCGTCGGCGACAACGCGCGCCTCCCCCGGCCCAGCGCAGCGTTGCGCGGCCCCACGGGGAGGTCCACGTGCGTCTCCCCCGCCCAGCACAGCGCTTCGAGGCCCCATTGGGAGCTTCACCAAAGGCCCCAGCGGCGGCGCCCACATGCGCTCCCCCCGCCCAGATCACGGACAGATGGGGCCACGCCGAAGGCCCCAGTGGCAGCGCCGGCGCGCCGCCGCCATCTCGCTCCAGCACGCCCCCCGCACGGTTCGCAGCCCCGGTGGGGGGCGCCACCCAAGACGCCATTCATCTTCGCGGCATTCGCCATTGCACGTGAGTGGGTTTTTCGACAGGCGAATTGAATATTGCTGTTGCGAAACCATGTTAAATATGCATTAAGGGTGTGTATATATATATATATATATATATAGAAAGGTTGTCGGACCATTCGACTTTGAAGTCTTTTCGAAACTATGGGTTTTCGAAACATTCCGGCGCGCGCAAGGGCGCCCGGGCGATTCGGACATGCGCGCGTGAGCGGCACGTTTGGTAACGCGCAGATGATTAATTATCTTTAGAAATCGCGAAACCATGTGTTTTTTGCACGTGTTCGTGGCCCTCGATTTCGACGCCCTTGCGACGCCAGAGGTTTTCAATGGATTTCGGCACGCGCGCGACCTCGCGCGCGCGCTGCGGTCCATTTTGGGAAAAAGTTGTCAAGAATGAGCGACTTGTTGATACACGAATACGCGCGCAAAGTATTTTTCCAGTACTTTGAGGCCCGCCTCAAACTATTTGAACTATTCGCTAACTATGTTTCAGAGTTATGTTAAGAAACTATAAAGAAAATATAATGAAACTATAATACAACCACAACAAAAACATCCAAACCAAGAAACACAACCCACAAAATCACACACACACACACGAAACACAAAGCACAACAAAACACAACCAACACAATATATATATATATATACACGACCCACACCAAAAAAAAACAAACCAACACGCAAAACCAAAACAACAACACAACCCAAACCACAAAAAAACACAAGCAAAACCAAACAAAAACACAAACCAAACCAAGAACAACACACAACACCAACACCAACAGCAAACAAAACAAAACCCATCAACCAAACATAAACAAACCACCTCAACCAAAAACACACCAACCCTATCAACCACACATCAACCACATCAACAAAACGAACCACCAACCACATCAAACGATATCAAACCAACCACATCAAATGAAATCACCAATTCACATCAACCAACCGAAAAATGAAAACCACATCAAATGAAATCACCAACCACATCAAACAACCGAAAAACATGGAATCACCTACCACATCAAACGAGATGAAACCAAAAGCACGCACATACAAAACGAAAGCGGCCAAACACACGCCATGCCGATGCGCCGCTGGCGCTGTCGCCATCGAAGCGGAGAAAGGGAGGGAACATGATGAGGATGAGTGAATATTAGGTGTACGATGAGGATTTTCGATGCTGCTGTTAATGATGATGGAGTGCTTGTAATGATGATGATGGCGGCGATGGCGATGATGATAGTTATGGTGGCGATGCTCATTGCCATCATGGTGATGGGTTGGACGAGGATGCCATGGCGAACGTGTTCGCCAAGGTTCGTGCCGATATGGCGAGCATTGAGGATGATAGTTGCGGAATGGAGGCTGATATGGCGAGCATGCTCGCCAAGGTTCGTGCCGACATGGCGAGCATGCTCGCCGAGGTTCGTCTGCCTCTGCCCATCATCCCCCCAACCTCAGCATGGCCATCATCAGCAGCATCGCCGTCGTCAACATCTACGTCGCTATCGGCGCGCGCGCTCTTTAACACGCACTTATATATAGTGAGGCACGCGGTGGCGGCGAGGCTCCAGCTCGCCAACCGCGCGCCTCACATGAAGTACTCGCGGGGCCCCATGGCGCCCGCGGAGCATTTGCAGCCGCGCCTCGATCTGGAGCCCCGCGACGGCACGATGGCGAGCCAGCTGGCGAGCGGCGCGTGCTTGGCACGCGCCGTTCGCCGAGTGCAAGCTCCGCCAGGGCGAGGGCCCGAATTCGGGTGAACCCCGCCGGGCGGGCGAAGCAGACCTGAGCGCGACGCTCCCCATCCCCCTCCATACCACATGTGCGAACATTGCGTGGGAGCAAAGCTCTACTGCAACATGCATGTCTGCCCTCTCCGCCGAGCAAAGCTCGCGCAATGCCACCTCCAAAAATCGTCGCCCACCACTCCCTCCTCTTATCCCTCCCCCATATACCCGCGGGGCGCCGCGCTCAGGTCCACCTCGTCCGCTCGGCGAGGATCACCTTCGGGTCTTCGCCCCTGCAGAGCTGCAGGTACTCGGCGAAGGGCGCGCGCAACGCGCGCGACACGCCCGCCAGCTGGCCCACCATCGCGCCGCCGAGGAAGTCCTCGATCAAGCGCGGCGCCAAGTGCTCCGCGGGCGCCGCGGCGCCCCACGGGCACTTCAGCCGCGCGATCTTCGCGAGCTTCTCATCGCTCGCGGCGCCAGCTCTCCAGGCGGCGGGGCGGCGCGCCCGGCGAGGGGTCAAGGCGGGCGAAGCCTGCCTCGAACGGGGGGGTGGATGAACGCACGCGCGGCAAGCCTCGAGCACGACGAGGCGGCGAATGCATCCAAAATCAATTCATGTGCGAGGTGCGCTCGCATGCAATCGCATGGGTACAACACATGTGGTCACATACGACAGCATAACATGCACGCGTACTTGCATCACGAACCGCGTCATATGCAATCAACGGTCGCGCGATTACAACACACGCGATCACGCGTGACAGCGCGAGATGGCAGAATGGGCGAGCAACGCTCGTGAGCATGTGTACATGCGCGCGCATTTTTTTCACGGCCGCCTGCGGTCGTCGAATGGCACATGCGCCAGGTCTTCGCTATGCGCAGTGGCGCATTGCATGCTCTGGGGCCTCACGAGCTTCAGAGACGAGTCGCCCTTGAGGGCGACCCACCGCCCGCGCGATAAGGCTTCGTAGTGCATGCGCTGAACGAAGGCCAGGCCCACGCCGTCTACCTCAACGAGCTCATGGACCTTCCCGAACTCGACGTTGCCCGCCTCTCGGTTCGATCTGCACGCGCGACGCGCCACAGACCGAGAATGCGCACGCGCATCACTGACACGCGAGAAGCCATCATTTGCGAAGACTGTCGGCGCGCAAAGCACGCCGTGCAAAGTAACGGTCGAGGGGGCGATTGCGACGATCCGATGGAGGATCGACGGGCGATCGACGGGTTGATATCGGAAGCGGTTACACAGCATGGGCGCGTGAAAAGCACGCGATTGGAATCACTGAGGGCGCGCATATCACGCCGCATGGGCAAGGATCATGACGTCGATGGCGGCGGCAGGATCGATGGAGAAGGGATGAAGTGGAGGGTGGTGCACGCGAAGCGGCCGAAGGGCCGCGCAGCTGCACCGCTGCGCCGCCAGGCGCTCTTATACTGGCGAGCGCGCGAGCTTGCCGCCCGAGCCACGCTCGCGAGGGACGGCGAGCGAGGACGAGCTTGTCGCTCCAGCCTCGCTCGCAAGTGGCGGCGAGCGGGGGGCCTGTCGCTCCAGCCCCGCTCGCAAGTCGACGTCGCCGTCGTCGTCGACGTCATCGTCCCTCGTCGTCGTCCTCCTGCTCCTCCTCCTCCTGCTCCTGCTTGCCCTCCTCCTCCTCCTCCTCCCCCTCCCCCTCCCCCCCCTCCGACGTCGGCGGGCCCCGCTCAGAGGGCGGGCCCAAATGGGCCCGCGCGCGGCCCCGCGGCGGCGCGCGCGGCCGCTTCTGCCTCCGGCAGCCTCGCGGGCGGCGCCTTGGGCTGCGGCGCGCCAGGAGGCGGCGGCGGCGGCGCAGCCCGCTGCTCGAAGATGGCCACCGCCGCCCTATGGCGGGATGCAGCGCGCTGCTGCTGCGCGAGCTCGCGCACCGCGGCCTGGCTCGCCGCCTTCTCAGCGCGGCGAACCATCCGCGCCTCCGCCTGCAGCTCTCGGCGGTGGAAGCCGCGAGCCCAGTCCTGCTCCTGGCGCCCCTGCAGCGCCTCGCGGAGGCCCTGCAGGCGCTCCTCCTCCGCGCGCTCCCCCGCCTCGTTGAAAGCTGCCTGTGGGAGAAGCGGGATGAATGAGAAGGAGGAGGAGGATGAATGAGAAGAGTTCAGAGGAGGACGTCCGAGGAGGAGGTTGGGGGGAGCGAGCGATGCTCACATGGAGAAGGACAGGCGCCTGCGCCATGAACGGCGGCGCCTGCAGCCCGTGCACGCGGGCGACCGCCTCCAGGCGCTCGCGCAGCACCTCCCCCCGCCCCCCCCCCCCCCTCGTCTGGCGCGCCGCGACGGTCTCCGCGTAGGCGGATTCCGACACCGTCGCCACCAGCTGCGCCATCTCGACCAGGGCCTGGTCCTGCGCCGCCTCGCTGGTCCTGGCGCTGACCAGCGTCTGCTGGTCAGCGTGGTGCTGGTTCCTGGGCGCCAGCAGCCAGCGCCCTTCCTGCCCCTCGCGGCAGCGGGGCCCCGCGAAGCGCAATTCGCGGACCGTATCTTCGATGTGCTGCACCTCCAGGCGCGAGACGCGCGCCTCCTGGCGCGCCTGAAGGGAGAACAAAAGGGAAGCAGACACGTATATATCATCATCGGTTTGTTCGGGGAGAGCAACGCTCCCTCTGGCCAATCCGCTGAGATACATACCCTTCAGCGAGCTAGCTCGCAATCGTGCATGCATGCATAGCGACACGCGCCTCTTGGAGCTCGTACCGCAGCTCAGCAGCGTCGACGTCTCCATGTGCACGGCCCTGCGAAGGGGGGGTGCAACGTCGGTGGGTGGGTGGGGGGGGTGGGGTGGGTGTGCGCGCGCGCGTGGCGGGTGGGTGGGTGGGTGGGGGGGGGGGGGGGGGGGGCGGTTTGATCTGATGTCAGGCTCGATCGAGCAAAGCTCGCGATTAATAACGCAGGCGAGAACAGCTCGCTAGACAAAACGTCATACACCTATGGATGTGGTGGTGGGGTATTATATTGTTAACGCCCGATGCGGCGGCGGCGGCGGCGGCGGCGGGAACTCGCGCTGCGCGACGATCTCCTCGAAGCCGTGCTGCGACCGCTCCGCGCGCCACCGCGCGGAGTGCCGCCACCTGTCGGCGCGGGCGGTCGCATCCTCGGCGCGGGCGGCCATCTCCGCCGCCTCCGGGGCGAAGGCCGCCCAGTTCAAGCGGCCAATGGCCGCCTCCAGGCGGTCGCGCTGCCCGCCCGCGCTGGCGCTGCCGCGGGGGGGCGGCCCCTGCGGCGAGGGGGGGCGCGCGCCTGCGGCCGCGGGCGGCGGCGGCGGCGACGCCATGGCGCGCGGCAGGGCGCGCGGCGGAGACGAGGGGCGGGGGGGGGGGGGCAGGGGGCGCGCCACCTATGGGGTCGACTCGACCCCCGCCCCTGTGGCCGAGCGGCAGCGGAGTGAAGTAGAGTGAACGGAGTGGGGGGCGAAGACGAGAGGGGCGAGAATACGAGAAGGCGAGGGGGGTGAAGACGAGATTGAAGACGAGAAGATTGAAGTAGAGTGAGCGAAGAAGAAGATTGACGGATAGAATATTGAAGGAGAGAAGGATTGCCGGAGAGAGTACTGAAGGAGAGAAGGAATGAAGGAAGGAGAGAAGAATGTGAATTGCTGCCCTGCGCTCCTCCTCCACCCACCCTGCCTCCGAGCCTGGATGATGACCATGTCGCCGAGGCACGCCATGCCGCGATCGAGAGCCGCGACGGAGCTCGCGCGCGCAGTGGCGTCACCAAATATCCGCTCGTCCAACGCTCGGTAAGACAAAATGTCAATGCATGATGGGTCGCATCTCATTGCGAGCGTCGCTCGACATCATGCGTAAGATGATCTACGTGCAGCGGGAAATGCGATGAGCATTATGGATGTCCAGCAGGACTTTCTGGCGCATGGTCCGCGGCGGGCTGGGCTTGATCATGCCACGCATGGTCACCTGTGCAGTTAGAGAGATTCACCGAAGCATCAGCCAACACTTTCATCAGCGAGCGCTGCTCGCTGCGCCACCCCACCACCGATGTCATCAGCGAGCGTTGCTCGCTGCGCCACCTCCGTGTCGCAGAGCTGCCACAACTCGAAGCACGTTATCTCCTCCACGACGCCGAGCGCGAAGGTGGTGAGCGTGCGGCGCGGCCGCAAGTACCGCTTGACTACGCGGTGCTTGCGCTCCATCGTCATGGCTGCGACAAGGAAGCCGTGGCGGTACATCTGGAGCGGGAGGTGGAGGGCGTAATGGTGTTTTGGTCGAAACGCTACAGCACCATGCGCCTCTTTGAACAATCCGCGCGTCAATTGGCGTGGCCCCCAGCGCATCCGATGGACCGAGCAATTCTCGCCGATAAGCATGTGCGGTAGCAGCAGGCTGTCGCAGCACTCACTTAGTGAATCGCGGGCATGCTACTTGAACTTACGACGAGCAACGCTCGCTGCATAAGTTTATACTGTTACGTCGGAAGTTCGTACAGAACCTCTGCGTCCAGATGCCGCTTGATCGCAGCCGCTAGCTGCGACGGTCGCACCGTGCCCACGTTGCGCGCGGCCATCAGCAGCTCCAGCACGTCGAAGGCAGCCAACATGCCCCGCACCTTCGGCTCGTCGGAGCGCGTCATCACTACCTGTCCAACGCGCGTGGGACCCCGATGGGATAGTTCATCCATCATAACAGGTACCACACCTCCCCGAGCCATATATCCTCCCATACCTCCCTCCCATGCGGCGCGCATGCGTGCCATCTCGCGCAGATATCGCGATGCGATTTGCGCAGGCGTGCAGAACTCGCCGCAATCGCTCTGGAACTTATCCTTCTTCAGGGCGTTGCGGATCTTGTTCGGCTCGAATCGCGAGCCGAGGCGCGGAAAGGCGCGCGGCGGCGCAATCGCGCGCACGAGCTCGCCGAGCTCGGCGTAGGACGCGACCGTCCTACAGGATGACATGAAGGTGCCGAACTCGGCGTCGCAGATGCCATCCTGCAGGTAGGTGTGCGACCAGTCGTGCATGATTGATTGCGACGGCCGAACCAGCATGTCCCCGATGAGCTGGTACGGGGTGTGCGAGAAGCCGTTGTACAGAGCGACGCGATCGTCCAACGGGTTCTCCTGGGCGCGCCGCACGGCACCGACGATGGTCTCGTCGGTGTGCAACCTAAGTTGGCGAGCGGATACCGATCGCGTCAGCGTCGACCGCGCGAGCTTCGACCACAGCGTGGCGCGAGCGACGCTCGCGTCACGGGGTGCACCCCACAAAGCAGCTTGAGTGCCAGACGCGAATCTGGAGAAGTCGGTCTCCGCGATGCTGACGATCCGGTCGTCGTGCTGGTGGGGCCCATCTCCTCGCTCGGCGCGAGGGTGCGCGTGAAGCACGCAATTTGACACAATGCGCAAGGTTTCGCGCCACTATGTCCCTTGGATGCCAGTATCTCCTTGATACCAGGCTCGTCGCCCGCAATAACGGCGAGCTCCAAGAAGACGCGGACCTGGCGCCCCCCCTTGAGCACCAAGTTGATGCCGACGTCGCGCACGTCGGTCCCCGTGCGCTCGAAGAACCACTTCATGCACTCGTGGGCTATCTGCATCAGCTGGCCCTCGGCCTTCGTACAGACATGCTGCCGGACGCCGCATGTTGTCAGCCAGCTATGTTCGCGCCCAAGTGCCAGCGGACCGGATCCGCCGATAGTCACATGCATGACGCACCAGATGCATCAGCGGTACGAGCGTAGCTCGCCGATCTACTAATATCACCGTTGACCTTGGCGGAGTTGGGCAAAGCCGTGCGTTATTCCACCAACAGAAGATGCCAGACTTACGTGTGTGGCTCTTCGAGATGGCGTCACTGGGGTTCACGCCGTCTTGGTCCGCACGCCTCATTGTCGAGGCAGGGTGGCGTGTAAGGCGCGCGATGCCAGCAACGCTCGCTCCCTGCTGCGAGCAAAGCTCGCGTTAGAGCCGTGACGGCGGGAGGTCAATGAGCCCAGGCAAGCAACCGCGCTCACGATCAGTTTCAGAGTCGATAGTTCCACGTCGCAACACAGCTTTGCACCGCGTCACCCCATGCGGCACAGTCCGTGAATATATCTCCTCGCGCCGAAACTTTTTCCCCATTTCTTTTGGACAGCCCAGTGGCACGCGAGTGGTGCCAGACCACCGGTGCGCGGCCGACTCGACGAATGTGGTAACAGATCTTCTGAATAGCTTTCAGGGTGGTGGGGTTCTTCATCTTCGAGGCAGTGGCCCCAAGCCCGCGTCTATCACCAGCCAACCTATGCCGCGGAACAAATTCCGCGCGCTCCTCAGTGCCAGCATCCTCTTCTCTGTCTCCATCGCCATCCTCTCGTCGTCGTCGAGGCTTCCGATGGGCGCCGTCGAAGCGCTTGTTGGGGTCGAGCACCAGCATCAGCACTTTGCACGGCGCGCTGTGCACAGGGGAGGCCTTCCTGCGCGCGGCCCGTTCGAGCAGCGCCCCCGCCCCCTTCCAGGTCGCCCCCCCCCTCCTCCACGCGCGCGAAGTTATGCGATCCGAACGGGGGGGGGGGGAGGTAGCCCGTCGAGACATTGCCGCTGGCACTCTGCGAACTCAACCGGCACCGCACGCGGCCCGCCTTCGGGGCCAGAAAGTGAAAAATACCGTTGCACCTCATCGCCCCTGGGCGCGAACTCGTCTGCCACATTGCATCTTCTCCGCTTCGGGCCGCCACACTTGCCCGCCAGGAGGCGCGCCAATCTCCGCGCCTCCGCGCGACGCCGACTGCGCCACGCTTCGCCAATCTCGGCAACGACCTCCCCCGTCGTCTCCTCGAACCTGGAATGCCGTAGATTCCTCGGCTCGTGCGAGGCTCGCGCCAGCAGCATACATGCATGGTCGTCGTCGCCCTCGGCCTCTCGAGTCCTCCGTCGCTCGGCAAGAAGACGCGATCGCTCTTCAGCAAATGCTTGGGCTCTGGGGTCCTTCGCTGTCTTCCTGCCGAAGTGTGCTCTGCCGCGGCATGCGCCGCAGTGATCCACCGGGCCCACGCCTCATCAGGAGCAGGCACAGACAAGCAGAGATCGTGATAACCTGGCCCGTCTCCAAACTCTTGCTCCAAGTCGCGAATAAATTATGGCACTCCCGTTCCTCGCCGAAGAGCTTGGGCAAGGCGGTCGAAGTCCCATCCAGCCTGCTCGATGCAGGAGTGCGACAAGTCGAGGGTGCAGTCGAGCTTCAGCATCAGCGGGACGTGGTCCCGCACCCCCTGCTTGCGGATCAGCTTAAGCCTCATACTCGAGCGCATCAGCGGGACACACCCTTTGACATCCTCCGCCTGCCACGCGAAGGTCGCTATGAAGTCAATGCAGGACGCCGAGACCGAACCGCAATGCGTTGGTCTTGTCGGGAAGTCAGTGGACACAGCACGGATCGCATACTGTTCCCTCATCTCTAACGCGCGGTCTCCCGCATAGTGCTGCTTGGAGTTGTAATATCTGCCCAGCGCCCTAGACGTCACCAGCACCTGCCCGTCCCCCTTCCTGCGCCAGCCGAACGAGTCGTTCAGGTCCAAGCCCCACAGGAGACTGGCCCTTATTGGTATCCAACTGAAGACCTTCTCTAGCCACGCGCACATGGTGTCGACTGTGTGCTGGTACCCACGATGTGACTCGGGCGCAACGGATGATCCCCCCCCCTCCGCGCCGACGGGTGCGGTGGGAAATATGTAATCGGGATCGCAATATCAAATCGGCAAGACCTTAGTCTATGAAGGGCCACTCTGCCACATAGTTGTTGTGGCACTGCAGGTGCGTCGACCATGCGGTTGGCCCTGAACTTCCTCCTTACCAGCAGCACGAGCCCACAGGACTTGTTAGAGTGTCGACGCGGTAACTATCCCGAATGGATAGCGACATGAAACTTGCACGCCGATCTTCTCGTAGCCTGTTCTTGTGAGGCTGCTCTCTCGCCCGTACTTGTGAGGGCGATCAGGTCCACGTGTTGGAACTCCTCACGGATATCTGCTATCCTCAGCTCGTCCGCATTCATACGGTTCAGTACAAGAAAGTGAGCATACCGTCGCATCACATGCATCGCAAAGGGAGGCGGCGAGCTGGCCGTGGGGCCTGGCCGAAGCGAGGGTTCGTTAGCGGGTGCGCAGAGTCGCCCGCCCCTGGTGCGCGATCGCCTGAGCGGGGGGGGGTTGGGGAGGAGGAGGACGATGAGGAGGAGGAGAAGAAGGATGAAGAGGAGGAGGGGACGGGGAGAAGGAGGACGGGGGAGATGGGAAAGTGAGAGGACAAGGAGTACGATAATGATACTGCTGAGGAGGAGGAGGAGGAGGAGGAGGAAAAGGGGAGGAGGAGGCCAGGGGAGAAGGAGCAGAAGGAGGAGGAACGGGAGGAAGAGGAGGAGGAGATCTTGGCCGGGCTCCCATATCGCCCAATATCGAAGATCCGTCGGCCCATCCGCCGCCACGCTTGGGTTGTTGGTGAGAGGCCACTTGGATGAGTGATGGATGGTGTTTCGTGGGAGGTTTCTTGGAGGCCTCTTGGAAACAGTTATAGGGGCATCCTGGGGGCCTGTTTGGGGCCGCTTGGGGGCCTCCTGGGGTCACTTGGAAGTTTCTTCAGGAGTTCCCGGGCCTGCTGAAGGCGTCTTGGGGCCCACGGCTGGAAGTGTCCGTTCGGGCTCCCTTTCTGGGCCCTCGTTGGGGACGCTTTGGGGCCGTCATTCGCCGTCTTGGGGGCCTCATGGGCTGCCTTCGCGCTCTTTTGTGGCCGTCTTGAAGCTTATTTTGGGGCCTGTCGAGTCGTCTTGGGGCGATCTTGGGGGTTTCTTCGGCCGTCGTGGACGCTGCGAAAGCCCAGGAGGCGAACATGCTACAAGCATACGTTTTCTTCGAGGAATGAGACAGTGTTTGCCTCTTCGAACCTCTTTGGGAGATTTCTTGGAGGCCCCGTGGAGCATCTTCGGGTCATCTTGGGCCGTTTGGTAGCAATTGTTGGCGTCTTCGGATTATTGTTTGGCGAATCGGGATTCTTTTGGACCGCCATCGTCGTCATCAATGCCATCGCTGCGACTCGGCGACTCGGGGTTCTAGGAATCGGCAGACCGTCAGCAGTGTCAGCGTCATCATCCTACTCCTTCTTCTCATCCTTTGCGCATTCCTTACCACTCGCTGTAAGGGCGCAATGCAATTAGTTCACTTTCAAAACGGGATTCTTGCTTGAACGGCAGGCCCATCGGGTTCTGTTTTTTTCAAGGGTGCGTTTTTTGAAGGAGAAAGGAAGGCCTGCAAAGAATTCTGAGGAGGGGGCTTGAGACGGAAGGATGTAATGCACCATCGCTGGCGAATTTTGGGTTACCTTTGGTCCCCCTCCTCCTTTTCTTCCTCCCCCCCTCCCTCCCTTCATCCCCTGCCTTCCTCCTCCTCCTCCTCCTCCTCCTCCTTGACGCACTGTGGCGGGTGAGTAGACACGATGGGCAAGTCGGCAACGCCAGTCTTCCAGGACGGTTGCGGGCCCACCAGTGATGTTCATATTGGCGTTAGCGTTGGCTGGTCGCGCGCCCCTCACTGTCCTCGCGTTCCTCCTCCTCCTCCTCCTCCTCCTCTTTTTCTTCCTTTTCCTCCTCTTCCTCCTCTTCCTATCCTCTTCCTCCTCCTCCACTTATCATTCCTCCTCTTGCTCCTTCTCGCCCCCCGCCTCCCCCCCCTGCGCGCCCGTGCTCGGCCCCAGCCGCGCGACGCCCCAGGAAAAAGACAGGCCATTCTGGAACCCGAGGGCGCGCCAGGCGGGCTCGGGGCCTCCGTACCGCATTCCTCGTCGCCTTTCCCATTTCCCGCCGCCTCTTGCCTCGTCCTCATCATTGTCCTTCTTGTCCTCCTCCTCCTCCTCCTCCTCCTCCTCCTCCTCCTCCTCCTCCTCCACCGGAGCCGCTGTGTCGCAAGATGGGCTTTCTTTTGGTTTAGTTCCGGCCAGCTTGCTCCCTCGCGTCTTCCTTAATATTGCATCTGCCATTTCTTGATGTGTTCCGTTTACCGCCAGGAATGGACGAGGCTTTCGGATTGGTATCTACATTGGCTGGCAAATCTATGCGGTTCTTCGCCGTTGCTTCGGGCCAGCACTTTTCGGGCCTTCATGTTGCTGTTCATTCGCACCGTCGGGTCCTCTCGTCACCGACGAAGCGCACGGTGCGCGATTTCGCTGCAGTATTCCAGTTTTTGGTGCACTATACCGACCCATGGACTGACGAATTTGTGGACACATTGCAGCGGGAGCTCGGTGAGGCGTTCCCCGAAATCGCAGATGTCATTTTGAATGGTCGTCCTGTCTGTGCGCCTCACTTCGCTGTGGCTCCTCGGCGACAGCCGCTTGAGCACGCTCTTCGAGCAGAGGCAATGGCGTTCGCCCCGTCTGCCATGATCGCGACGTCGATCCCCGACCTGCCCGTTGAATCGCAGCGCGCTCATGACGAACAGCTCGGCAGCTACCAACATTTGACAAAAGACATGAATAACGCGATTGCGCTTCTCAAAGACATGCTCGAGCAGTTCTCCTCCTCGGTGGGTGGCGCCGGCGGCCCAGACTCCCGAGGAACACTCTTTCAGTGATGGGGTGGACGACGGAGCCTCGTCGGACGGTTTTTCGCGCGACTCTGTGTCCGATGTGGCGTTGGACGAGACCGCCGCTTCCACCCAGAGGCGGTTGGACGAGATGGCGGGCGCCATCGACGCAAACATTTTATCATTTGTCTCTTCTTCTGTTTCAGAGCTCGGGCGTGGGCATGCCAGCACGCTTGGCGAGATGGCCAAGGCCATTCGGCCGACCATGGCGGAGACGACGGTTCCGAGTCTGCTCAAACTCTTGTCTCCTACGGCGGAGGAACGTTTCTTCAAGATTATGGATCTGATGTCGATTGGGGAAATGCGGTTGGAAAAAGGGTATGATGGGCACCGAGATGAGCTTGCTCCAGCAGCTCTCCACGGTCCAGGAGTTGACCAGCTGCCTGCGCGCAGAAGCCAGCACGCTTTCCGATCGCATCGGGGTTGTAGAGGCGGCCGGCGCACAGCTGGCAGCGCGGCGGGTGCGCTTGCCATTGGCGTGGCACAGCCAGCGCCCTCGCGCTCACCTGGTCCGGCTACGGCGCGCAGGTTCGGCAGCGCATGCGACGGACAGGGCTGCTCCTTCATCCACTTCCAGGACCGCGACGTCGACGGCCTGCCACTTAGCTGCGCCAAGTTCGACGAGATCGCTGCTGGGGCCGAGTTTTTCGAGTATCTGGAGGTGCTCGAGTCGCTGGGTCACCACGACGCGCCTTCTGAGCCACCTTTTCATTGACTGGCTAGCCCTATGTGGGAAGACTTCAGATGATGCTATCAGGTGAATTTTGGCTGGCCTGCGCGGCGACGGCGCCATAGAGCCTGCTTTGTTGTATCACATTTCTTCTCTACCTGTTCTTCCCCATCCTGCACTCTCCTCGCGGCCCGCGGAGCCCCGCCGCTCGGCGAGCTGGGTGCACTTCGGGTTTTGCACCAGGGTTGCCCCGAGTCAATCCCCGAAGGGCGACGCTGGCGCAATTGGGCCCCGAGACTGTCTCGGCACAACTGGGCCCCCAGGCGGCGCAGACGGTTCGTCTGCCTCGCGGCCTGCGGGTTCGCGCGCGGCCACTCGCCCCCCCCAAAAAAAAAAATCTTGTGCTTCTTCACTTGCGAGGTTATGATATAAGGGGCTTCTGCCCACTCTCATTCCCCGCTGCGCGGGCTGCGGAGTTCCCGAGATCGAGCAGACGAGCAGACTTCGCGCGCGCGTCGCTGCGCCTCCTCCTCCTCGTTATCTCCCCCCCCTCCTCCTCCTCCTCCTCCTCCTCCTCCTCCTCCTCCTCCTCCTCCTCCTCCTCCTCCTCCTCCTCCTCCTCCTCCTCCTCCTCCTCCTCCTCCTCCCCCCCCATCCCCCCGCCTCCCGCGGCCATTTTGGCGCGGGCCATTTTGGCTCGAGTCCGAGCTCTAGCGGCGCCTGGTCTGCACGAGCGCACCGCCTGCCCCCCGCCCTCGCGGGCGAGCAGTCTTTCTCGCACCCAGCCCGCTCCCCAGCGAACGGGCACGGGCGGGGGGGGCCCGAGAGCGCCCGCGAAGAGGAAGAGGCGCGGCCGCGATGGCGAGGACGAGGAGCGCCGTTCTCGCTCCTCGGCTCTGGCGCCTGCCCCCCGCGGCCAGGGGGGGAAAGCTCAGCTGCCGATGGCGAGCGCGGCCGCGGCGCCGCGGGCGGGAAGGCCCCCGCGGGCCGCGCAGGCGGCGCCGGCGGCGGGCGTCGCGGGCCAGGAGCGGCGCCCGGCGGCGCGCGGTCAACGCGGCGGCCGCCAAAATGCTGCAGGCTGAGGTCGGGAATGTGCGAGAGGAGTGGGCGGCGGAGATCGGGGTTGCTTCGCGGGGGGCAGTCGGGGCAGCCTTGCAGGGCGCAGCCGCGCAATCCGCGACAGGCCCAGCGCTCTCGCGCACGGAGGCCGGCATCTTCAAGCGCGCCGAGGCGATCGAGCGGAGGCTCGGGCAGGCGGGGGTTATGTCCGAGGAGCATGGCAAGGGGCCAAGGCAGGCAAGGAATCCATTGACGACTTCCAAAACTGGCCAACTCACCTCGAGCGCGAGTTAGACCTCGCCCTCGCCGGCCCAAGTCTCCATCGCTATCTCGGCGGCATGGGCGCTGAATTCGGACGACCGCGCGCCCGCGGCGAACGCGGCGGAGGGCGCGCCGAAGGCCACGGCCCAGGAGGCGCTCGAGCAGCGGATCCGCGACGCGGGGCGCGCTCTCGACTTCCAGGTCCAGCTCGAAGGGGGCGAGATTGGTCGCCGTTTCATCCTGCGCTTCGCGGGTGGGCGAGACGGCGGCGGCGCGGGCTCGGCGGGCTTTCAGCGGGCTCTGGAACGAGCATGGAGTCTGGAGAAGATTCTTCGTTTCTCGGCAGCCGGGCAAAGAGTTCCAGCTCTTCGCCGGCGGCGACAAGAGCCGCGAGGCGCAGGCCTGGAAGATAGCCGCGAAGAGGCTTGCGAAGGCGCTTCGGGGCCACCTTGGCAGCCGCGCCTACGGCAACAGGGAGGAGGGCGCCGCGGCGGTTGGCCACGAGGCGCTCGCCAAGGTGCAGGTCTCGACCCATGCGGAGACGAAGGTGGCATGGAACGCGGCAGCGATTACTGATGCGCAGCTCAGCCACGGGAAGCTCGGGGAGGTTGCAGCGCGGATAGTCCGAAGGCTGCCTGCGTAGCGGGCGGGGGCAGCAGTTTCTTGGGGGGCGCAGATCTGAGTGCCCTGGAAAATCGAGGCGCTTGCGCACAGCGACCCGGCGAAGCCTAGATAGCGAGCGCAGCGCGTCCTGGCTCTCTCGGTCTCGCCAGCGACCATTGGCTTGCAGGATGCGCATGGCGCCTTCGTCGTGGTCGACGAGTTGATCGCTCGTGAGAACATTCACTAAAGAGTCTTCCACAGCCCAGGCGCGACCCCCACGGGCGCGGGGCCTCTGCGCTCGCGCCGCGGGCGGCGACAGACAGACTGGATAAATGGACATCGAGCCGATGAACTCCCTCAAGGGCTGGGCGACCTGCCTCGCGATTCGGGAGGCCAGCGCAGGTTCCGAGGTAGACCGCTGGAACGTCGACAGCGCTGGCAGGACGGCGCGCGAGATGAGCCGCGCCTGCGCGGCGATTCGGGCCCAGGCAAGAGGAGTGGACGCGGCCCCCATGGCATGCTGCATGGTCATAGTTGGCGATTTCAACGTTGCCAACGAGGCTGCCGAGGGTATTCGGGGGCTTGGCCGGCCTCGGCACGCTCGTGCAAACCGCGCTGGCAATGTTCGCTGGCGGCGTCTGCGGCGCTCGCCGACCGCGCTCGCAGCTCGCAGAATTAGCTGCTGGTGCGCGTCGACGAAGATATCGGCGCGCATCGACAGATGCTTCGCGCATCGCGCTCCGGCGCGACAGACGCGGGAGTCGCGACGGACTGGCCAGTCCGCAGGGGTGCCCGAGGACCTGGCCAAGCATCGCCTCTCCGACCATTCGCCGCTGCAGGTCGCGCGGGGCCCGCGCCCCAACGCGGACAGCCGCTGGGCGCGCCCCCTCTCCAAGGACGTCGCGCGCGGCAGGCTCTGTCGGGGGGCGCCGATGAAGCTGGGCCCCCCCGTCGATCTCGACTCCCTAGAGGCTCCAGATGCGCTTGAGGCGGCGACGCGCCGTCGCATCGACGCTGCTCGGACCGCCCGCGATTTGCGTCTGGCCCGGCGGCCCCAGCGCGGTTCGCAGCGCGCGCTGGCGGCGCGCAGTGCGGCGAGGGCGTCGTGATCGCCAGGGCGGCACTTGCGCGCTGGCCCTGGATGGCCGAGCACGCCGCGGTTGCGGCAGGCGTCGCCAGGTCGGCGAGCCCGCAAGGTTAGCGAGCCCGCCGGTTTCCCAGACCCTGTTCGCGGACATCCACCTGGAGAAGGCCCAGGCGCGGCTCGCGGCGCCAGGGGGCGGGGAGGAGAACGGCGCCCGTCGCTTCCGGAGCCGAGCGGCTGCCGCGACGCGACGCGCGACGATTTGGAGCCTTTTTATCGTCAGTGGCACATCGCTGGCATCCTCGAGGAGGCAGGCGCCGCCGTGCCCGAGGATCTTGGCGCGCAGGCCGAGGCGCTCAGGAGGCGTTGGGGGCCTGTCTTTGGCCGCCTGGCTCATTGCAGCTGCCCGGCGGCGCCGACGGACGCCCCGCGAGGTCCCCGAGCAAGACGAGCTTCGATCGAATTCGCCCTGCCCGGCAATTGGCGCGACGAAAAGGGCGCTGAGAAAGGGCGGCTGGTCAGCCCCCGGCCAGGGCGGGCCTCCATATTTGGCGCGGCTGCGCGGGAAGGGCCTCCCAGCATTGACGGCTGTCGTATGCTTGGATGCGCAGCGGGAGGCCCGCGCAAAAGCGCTTCCAAGCCCCCCTTGCCGCCCCCCTGCCCAAGAGCGACTCGGAAGGCGGCGCTGCAGGGGAGGGGCGGCACGCGCGGCCTGGGGCGCGCGCTCTTCGCACCTCAAGACGACGGCCAACAAGGCGGTGGAGGGCGTCGTCAACATCGAGTCGCGCGCCACTACAGTGCGCATCGGCTCCGCCATTCAGAGCGGCTTCATTCCGATGCGCACTTTCTGCGGAACGCGATCGAGCCGGGCGGCGCAGTGAGGGGGGCGAGCGCCGCCTCTGCGCGCGAGGGCGTTGCGCTGCGCGCGTTCGACTTCGGGCAGGCATTCCAGTTGGCGTCGCAGCCCTGGCTCCGCCGACGCTCGGCGCGTCTAGGCACGCCGCAGGGCTCCGGCGACGCGGCGGGCACGACGCGCCCGCGCAGCCGGCGCCATCGGCGCGGGGCGGGCGAGTTAGAGCACCATCGCGACGCGGCGAGTGTCTCACTGCAGGGGCGCCCCACGAGCGGGAGCCCCTGCGCGCCACCATCGGCGACCTCTTTCAACGACCACCTCCACAAGACGGCCGATTCCAGGAGCGAGGGGGCCGCCCGGGCGCGCGAGGACGACGCGGGCGCGGTCGCGACGAGCGCCCGAGCCTTCAAGCAGGCCGCGCGGGCGTTCGGTCTGGCCGCGCAGTTGGCGAACCTCCACCTCGAACTGGCGAAGTGCAAGGCGGCGGCATTCAGCGGGCCGCTGACGGGGGAGGTCGCCCTGGCAGTGCGGGGCGAGCTTGCCCAGGCCAACCCTGTTTGAGAAGCCCTCGACGCGCGCGACATGGCCGCCCACCTCGGCTTCGCACCCGGGGCCGCTGCGCCCCCGCGACGCGGGCGGCAGGGCGCGGCGCAGAAGGTAACGCAAATTACGCGCGCGGGACATCAAGAGCAATGGGTATTAAGTCGGCATTCCAGATTTACCGGGAGCGCGCTTTGCCAGCAGCGGGTTGCAATGCGCAGCTTCCCCTGCTCGAGTGGTCCACTGTAGGACAAGAGTGGCGCTAGCTTGCAGCGCTAGCGAGGTGTGCGATCTCCGCTTTCCGCCACGCCAATACGTTCGAGCTGCGCTCATTCGGCGGCCCCCAGGTGACCTCGCTCGGGTCGTTCGCGGGCAGCGCCATGATGCGGGCGGCGCTGGAGACGATCCCGCAATGGCGAGAGGTGCTGAAGAACTTGCGAAATCAGGTCGTCGGGCGCGGGGTTTACGCGGCATGGGGCAACAAACAGTGCTACCCTTGTCACGGAGAATGCCGACGGTGTTGTCCTTCGAGCGCGCTGCACGAGAGCACAGAGGCGATCCGCACCTCTCCGCGGGCGCCGTCGCCGGGCTCTAAGAGCTGGCGCGCGTCCGCGCTGACACCGGCAACGCGCGCCCCCGTCGCCGTCGCCAGCGGACGCAAGGTGTGCTGCGCAGGGCCATCCAGGAGCAGTTTTTGTTCACGTATTTGGTCACCGACGCCATAGTGACGCGCGTGAGAAAGTGGTTCCTCCCGAGCTTCCAGGAGGAGATCCACCTGGCATTACTGGGCGCGCGGATGCGCCCCCAGCCGCCGTCTCACGCGACCACAGCGCTGCGAACGTGGGTTGGGGCATGGCCGAAAAAAACGCACGCAGCGGTGCACGAATTGCGTGCTTGGCTGCCCCCGCAAACAGAAGTGACGCACTACATCAGGGAGCGCATACGCATGCGACTGGTGGCCGAGCGAGTTCTGCAGGCACCGCTGTCTGGTTCCGTACGGCAGCGGCCGGGGCTGTTTAGCGGGGGCGCCGAGCAGCCACGGCATCTGGCAATCGTGGTCGCCCCCTTCACATGCTGCTGGCTGGTTATGCAAGAAGTGTGCTATCGGGAGGTGGACGTTCTCTCCAGAGGCGAGGCCGCGCTCGTTGTGGAACCAGCGCGGTTGGCCCTCCGATTGCCGTGCGGCATGCTGGCCAGGCGCCGTGAGCTCTTAGGGCCGCGCGCGCTGCGTGGCGCGGTGTCCTCCTCCTCCTTCTCCTCCTTCTCCTCCTCCTCCTCCTCCTCCTCCTTCTCCTCCTCCTCCTCCTCCTCCTCCTCCTCTTCCTCCTCCTCCGCCTCTTTTGAGCCTGGTGCGCTAGGGTCGCCGCGCGAAGGCGCGAGTGGGCGCCAGGCACGGCGGCATCTTGGGACCCTATCGCCCCGTCTCCTCGAGGAAAACCCTGAACCTTCTCCAGGGGGCGCGCCAGGCGGTTCGGGGGGGTGCGGCACGGCTCCGGGTGTTCAGATCTCGGCGTTTGACTTCGGCCTCCTGGGGTCGCTTTCGAGCCCCAGGACCAGTGATGAAACAAATTACACATCGGGAAGTAGTCGAGACATCTGGGGACCACGGGTGTCTGGGCGTGGCAGGAAGAAACCCGCGCCCCGCGCAGCAGGGCGCGCAGCCGCACAGACCACTTCTCGGAAGTCTTCATTGGCTCTCGGAAGTTGTCTCGCCTCTGGGTGCTCGATGTTATCGGGGTGCAATGTTTTCATATATTCGAGGTTGGAGGTTTTTAAGCGTTTTCGCCGGTTCTCGGCGGTCTTCCAGCCCCGGGGTGCTCTCCAGCAGCTGCGCTTCGCCGGGAGCAAACCCCGGATTCTCCGGACCGTCCCGAGCGGTCGCTGGAGACCCGAGTTGCGCCCCGAAAACTACGAGGCCTCAAGCAGGAGTGCCCCTCTTGGCGCGCGGCTTCTCACGGAAGCCCGACCCAAACAGTAGTAGAAGTAGTGGTACCAATACTACTGATAGTAGCAATCGTAGCAGTAGTCGTCGCCGAAATAGTAGTCGTAGTAGTAGTCGTGGATTTTCACGCCGTGGAAATAAAGCACGGCGAATCATGTGTCGTACCATTTTCGGTCTTCGTGGGCCCTCGCCGTGCCGTTGGACCGTCAAGAAACGGCTCGGGATGAAGAGCCCGTCTCGGGGAAGGGGTCGGGATCTCTAGGAAACCGGCGTTAAACAAAAAGATGTCGGATGTCTGGGAAGGCCTTGCTGGGCCCAGACGCGCACCTCTCGAAGCCAGGGCGTGGAGGCGGTGGTGGCCACAGTACTGCTTCTGCTGCTGCTCATTTCTACTCTTCCCCCTCCTCACCCTCGTCCTTCTCCCCTCCTCCTCATCATCTTCCTCATCCTCAATCCGCTTCTGCCCTCTGCCTTATGGGCCAAAGGGCGTCCTTCTTGTATTGGCTTAGCACTGTCCATCACGCGGTCTTTCTTGACGCAGGATGGTGGCTGTTCTGCGCCCCGCCCACCCGTCCTGGCACAGAGCGACGCTTCTGGGGGGTACGGATGACATCGGCCCGGGGAGGACAGGTGGGCAGCTCGCACATGTAAAAGAGAAGACCGCGGGTGGAGCTTGTCGTATCCCCTCCATGAGTTCGAGGTCGCGCGGCCCTGTCAAAAGTTCGCCTAACTTGGCCACCCGTGCAGGGTGGTCGCAGGTCTTGAGCTCTTGGGGAGAAGGGGAAGGGTGGCGGCCAATGCCAGCGTCATCGCGACGTTCAGAAACGGCCATGGGAGCTGGGAGCGAATGTCATCGAGGAGCCCACATGGTGTAATTTAGGTATGCCTCCCAAGACGTTCCCTAGTGTTCCCGCGGCGACCGATTCGTGCGTCGGGAGCAGGACCATCATCGATTTAGCTCGCCCACCTGCTGCCGCTCACAACCAGCTGCAAACACGATTCAGCTTCTGGTGGGGGAGGTGGACTCGCACTTACGGTGGTGGCCTTCGTTAAGGAATGTGCCCAGGAGGTTTCAGACCCTGGGTAATTCATTATCTGATGGGGGCGGCGGTGATACCCATGGCCAAGCCTCAAGTGGTGTTCCACCGGCTTCCAGATCCTGGACTCTTTATCCAAAGGCTCCTTGCCAAAAGCCCTCAGCGTATTCGATTCAGCTCGCCCACCTGGTGCCGCTCACAACCAGCTGCAAAGGCGATTCGGCTTGTGGGGGCTCGTTGCGTGGTATCCGACCCCGAACCAAGCCTCCAGTTCGATTTGGGAGGTCGTCGAGGCGATCGCGGCGGCCACCAATCGGGGCAATCGTTTCGTCAAGGAGTTGCATGCCCCTCCCCCGCCCTGCATTGTAGACGTGGCGTATATTCATAATCAACCATATAGCAACAGAGAGTTGTCCATGTATGTCCAACATGGGCAGTCGTATGTGCTTTCTCGGTCAGGGGTCAACAATCACGCAACCAAGGAGGGAGGAGGAGCCGCACTCATCTTGCATGAGGGGGCAGCCAAGTTCGGCGACCCAGAGGCAAACATCTTTTGTTGGGGCGCCGGTAGGAGCGGCGGCGCGCAAGGAGAGGTGCACCAAGGGACGTGGCATCGTTCGGACGTGTACATGTTTTCGGCGAGGCCGGCGTCAGAAAATCTTGCTCCATCTTGGAGCATCATGTTGGACCATCGTGACAATGAAACACACACATAACCAAACAATGCACGGGGAAGGACGTCCGAGTGATGGACAATTTAAAGCCGATGGACGAAAACGATGGGCAAGTTCCTCCGCTTCCTCATTCCCCCTTCTCATCTTGGGCCTGTTCATACACAGAGGTAGTCTTGTGCACCGCTTCCGTGGCATTCGGGGCAATTTTGGCAAAACGAGCGAGCACTCAGGCGACTTCGCCGGAGGAACAAACATGTTGGGCAGGTGTGAGCAACGTCCTCGAGGTGAAGACTGAGACCCAGGTTCCCTGCACTGCGCCATGCTGCCGCACGTGGGACCTCTGATGCCGAGGGAAGAACTACGATGACCATGACCAACATGTCGCGAGACCTTGTCGACGCCGATCTTGGTCATGGTCCATGCCAGCCGCCCCGGACCCGCGACGATCATTCACAAATTCTAGACGCTTCGTGCATCCCCACCAGCCCGTTCAGAAAAGAGCCCCAGGGGAGTGGAGGTGATGAGGGAAGCGGGGGAGCATGCAGAAGAACAAAGGGCGGGGTAAGCCGCCATATACCCCAAGAGGGGGAGGATGTAGGAGGAGTCGTCGTCGTCGGAGTAGGAGGAGGAAGAGGAGGAGCAGGAGGGGGAGCAGGAGGAGGAGGGGGAGGAGAAGGAGGAGGAGGAGGAGGAAGATGAGGAGGAGGACATGGAGGAGGGCGAGGACATGGAGGACGAGAAGGAGGAGAAGGGAGGAGGAGGAGGAGGAGGAGGAGGAGGAGGAGGAGGAGGAGGAGAAGAGGGAGGGGGAGGAGGGAGGAGGAAGAAAAAGAGGAGGAGGAGGAGGAGGAGGACAATGGCGAGCTTGGGGGCCTCTTGGGCCGTCTTTGGGGCCTCTTGGCGGTCCTGGGGGCCTCTTGCGTATCTCGGGGAGCCTCTTGGGGCCTCTTGGGGGTCTCTTGGGGCCTCTTGGTGGTCTCTTGGGGGCCTCCTGGGGGCCTCTTGGGGCGCTCTTGGGGCGCTCTTGGGGCCTCCTGGGCGCTTCTTGGGGCCATCTTGGAGGAGATCTGTCAAAGAATGGGGGGGGGGAATTAGCGTTGCCCCCCCAGGAGGCCAACATGGGGCCAAAACCTTTGTATAATCAATGATTGTGGCTTCCTCGCCGAGGCCATCTTGGACGCCCCAGCGACCCGCGGACCCGCCCGTCCAGGTCCAGGGGAGGGGGTAGGGGGAGGGGTCAAGTTACCCCCTCCCCGCCCGCAAGCCGTCTCGCTCACTCCCACCCGCCCTCCCAACACATACGTAGCACCCGAGTCTGGCCTGAGCCTCAGCATATTCAGCAGTCGTCTTGGGATGGGCAGCTACTGGGGGCCAATCCGCCGCCGCCGCCGCCGCAGCCGCTGCCGCCACCGCTACCGCCGCCGCCGCAGCCGCCGCCGCAGCCGCCGCCGCCGCCGCCGCCTCAGCCGCCGCCGCCGCCGCCCACCGCCGCCGCCGCCGCCGCCGCCGCCGCCGCCGCCGCTCCCCGCTGCCAAACAGCCGCCGCCGCCGCAGCCGCTGCCGCGCCGCCGCCCGCCGCCGCCGCCGCCGCCGCCGCCGCGCCGCCGCCCCCGCAGCCGCCGCAGCCGCCGCCGCCGCCGCCGCAGCCGCCGCAACCGCCGCGCCGCCGCCGCCAAGTGTACTCTGTATTGTTTTTTGACAGGGATGTTTGGGGGGGGGGGGGGGCGCATCGGGTTGGCTGCGCAAGTTCCGAATTTGGAGGCAGAGTGTGTTGTGTATTGTTTTTTACAAGGGATGGTGGGGGGGGGTCGGCATGGTCCCTGGTTGGCCCCCAGTCGCCTGGGGGAGGGGGTGTTTATTAATAGGGAACAGTGATAAACCCTTCCCCGAAGGGGAAGAAGGAGGGGTGGAAGAGGAAACGCTCTAAACCACCGACGCCCAGAGGGCTGGTGGGATTGACGATGACCTTCACCCATCAGAAATCTTGAGGGAAATCTTCAGCCATCATGGGCTTCAGATTTCGGTCAAGAACATTAGAAATCTGCACTGAAACGTTAGCGTCTTCTTGGAGTTGCTGTGTCCGATGAATGTTAGTCGATCTAGACCTGCGCGACTGTTTTAGAAAACGCTTGGAGTGAAGTCCACATTCTTGGCGCACAGCTGTTTTAGCCCTGAGCAGGGATGTAGATGAGCGATGACCAAGATCGACACCGGCGTTTCCGCGTTCACTCTTGGTCATGGTCCTCGTTTCTTTCCCTCCACCTGGGCCACGGTCCTCGTTTTCTTTCCCTCCGCCTGGGCCACCAGGCAGACTGGGGCGCCTTGGTCTGGGCCAGGCAGACTACGCCACCTGGGAAAGAGCTGGCCGTGCGCGCGCGCGCGCGAGACGCGTGCTCTTGAGAGCGCCGCTGATTCGAAGGAGCCAGCGCATCGCGGAGCGGCGGCCGATGGTGACTCGGCGTCGTGCTCGGCGACTGCCCCCGCCGGCGGTGTTTTCCCATCTCCCCGTCCAACCAACACCTGGGACCCAGACGCGTTCGAGTCGGTAAACGATCAGCAACGGAAGGGTTTGGGCAAGTTTCGGCCTCCGTGGACCCACGCCAAGCCCTGGGACCGTCCAAAAGTGGCTCGGGTTTAAGAATTTGCACTGGGTCCGGATTTCTCCATGCTTGACAGGTGGGCGTCCTTTGCGCAGACTCTGCGCGGGGCTGCGGCAGGGTTGGACGCGAGAGTTCGGCGGCAAGTTTGACCACGCAAAAAGTATTTGTTGATTGTTTGTGTACGTCCTCCTCCTGCGTCTCCTCCTCTCCTGTGTAAGCACGCGGAGCCAACGTGCTCAGGAGCACACTCCTCACAGCTCCGTGTCCTCCCGAATTAGTTCTACAGCTAGACCCTGACCGGCCTCAAGACGCCGGCATGGCCCACAGTTCAATCGCGACATCCGCCGATATGAGATTTCAGCCCACGGTCCCAGAGCTCTCCCGAGCGCTTCCCCGGGGGTAGTTCTCGCCCTGGATATATTTTTAGTTGTCCCGGGGCCCCAAATCGGCCCCCGCGGGGGCCAAAACCAGGGAAAGAAAACGCCCAGATTGAACAAATCATGTCGTCGAAGATCTGGGGATCAGTTCGCCTCGGCCTGGGTTCAGCGCGGCAGTGCTTTGTTTTTTTTTTGGAGGGGGGGGGGCGTGTCGGACTGGGAGCACTGGGCCCGTCCCTGCCTTCCTGGGCCCGCCGTGCTACCGGCGCCGGCACCGCCCGGCCCTGCCACATCACGCATATAGGACCCGCGCGCAGGGAGGCAGCCAGGGCTCACAAGTGGCCCGTGCCCGCCCTGGGCGAACCATCAGAGCGCGGCCCCCGACGGAGGCACCGTCCCATGGGCGGGGCCAGGAGCTCCGAGGCCGCGCCCTGCAGAGTCTCGTCTCGAAGAGCAATAAGCGGCATGAACGTAAGTTTTCGGAACTCCGCGCGGGCCCCTCTGGCGGCGCCTCCGGCGCCGCCCCTGGCGCGCTCCGCGCTCCAGGGAGGGGCGTCCAGCGACGATCCAAAAGAATAAACGCTCGGAGCTGCGAAAGTTTTCATATTGCCATTTTCTGGTTCGTGGACAATTCCTGCTTCGCGGGCGGAGCCTTGCAGGACGATAGCGGCGGAAAAGAGCGTGCCGATGGCGGCCGCGGGCGGCGCATGCTCAGGCTGCACCTGCACAGCGACCCGCCCAGAGAAAGCCGCTTAGCCGTGGAAGGTCCAGCTTTCGTTAGGAGAAGGAGGAGGAGGAGGAGGAGGAGGATAAGCAGCAGACCAAGACATCCTCGCGTCATGAGGAGAACGCGACGGGCGTTTTTGTTCCAGTTTTCGGCCTCAAGGGGCCCTCGCCAGGCCCCAGGTTCGGCAAGCAACGATTCGGGGTGAAAACCGTTTCAACGGAAAGGGTCGGGACTTCCAGCGACCCCGAAGCGAAACATATCAGGACACCACACTACTACTACTACTACTACTACTACTACTACTACAACTATTGCTGCGACTCTTAGTACTGCGACGACTACTACTACCACGACGGCTACTATTAGTACTACGATTTCTACGACTACCATTACTACTACGACTAGTATCATTACTATTAATACTTCTACTACTATTACTACGACGACCACTACTACGACTACTAATACTACTACTACTACTATTACTACTACTACTACTACTACTACTACTACTACTACTACTACTACTACTACTACTACTACTACTACGACTACGACTACGACTACGACTACGACTACGACTACGACTACGACTATTACTACTACTACTACTACTACTACTACTACTACCACCACCACCACCACCACTACTACTACTACTACTACTACTACTACTACGACTACTACGACGACTACTACTACTACTACTACTACGACTACGACGACTAGTACTACTACGACTCCTACGACTACTGTTATTACTATTCCGACTACAACTTCATTGACTATTACCACTGCTACTACTTCCTAGTACTACTACTTACTACTCCTACTAATAATAATACTACCACTACTACGACTACCACTCCTACTACTACAACAACTACTACTACCAGTACTACTGCTACTACTACGGCTACGACTATGACTACTACTACTGCTGCTACAATTACCACTACTGCCACAATGACTACGACGTCTACTACTACTGCTGCTGCGACTAGCATCACTACTACTACGTTTCCTATTTCTAGAACTCCGGCTACTACTGCCACTACTAGAACGACTACTACTACGACTACAACTATTACTACGATCATTGCCGCGACGATGGATACTTCTACTACTGCGTTTATTTCTACTAGTACTGCTGTTACTACTACGACGGATACGAATACCACTATTACTATTACTAGTACTACCACTATTACTACTATTACTTCAACTACTAGGACTACTACCACTACCACTACTACTACTACTACTACTACGACTACTACTACTACTACTAGTTGTACTACTACTACTATTACTACTACTACTACTACTACCACTACTACTATGACTACGACTACGATTACTACGACTACGACTACTACCACTACTACTGCTACTTCTAATCCTACTACTACTACTACTATTACTACTACTACTACTACTACTACTACTACTACTACTACTACTACTACTACTACTACTACTACTATCACTACTACGATCACGATTATTGAATCGCTTCGCTCATTCCGCCGGCCCGTGATATGGCATCGCTGGTTTTTGTCTGTG